ATCCAAAAGATTTTCCTGTATCTCTCGCAACAGTAAACAGTTTGCTTCTATACAATAAGCAAACCAGCAACCCGAGCTTCTCCTTAGTCATGAAGAGAAGGGGTTTCCTATGGGTGTGGTATGAGAGAAAAGGCTCGCCTTTTGTAGAGAGAGAAAGGGCCTTGGCCTTACAAAAATGCCGCCATGGATGGGGCTTGAGCTTCTTTGGTTTTTTGCAACCCGAGCTTCTCGTTATTCATGAAGAGAAGGGGCTTCCCATGGGTGTGGTATGAGAGAAAAAACTTGCTTTTTGTAGAGAGAGAAAGGGCCTTGACTTTACAAAGACGCCGCCTAGGGCTGCCATGGATGGTGCTTTTGAGCTTCTTTGGTTTTTTTTCAACCCGAGACCATGGGTGTGATATGAGAGAAAAGGCTTGCCTTTTGTAGAGAGAGAAAGGGCCTTGGCCTTACAAAGACACCGCCTAGGGCTGCCATAGATGGGGCTTGAACTTCTTTGGTTTTTTGCAACCCGAGCTTCTCCTTATTCATGAAGAGAAGGGGCTTCCCATGGGTGTCGTATGAGAGAAAAGGCTCGCCTTTTGTAGAGAGAGAGAAAGGGACTTGCCTTTACAATGATGCCACCTAGGGCTACCATGGATGGGGCTTGGGCTTCTTTGGTTTTTTTAGAGAGAGAAAATTAAAATGCTATGTTTATTCAGAGAGAGAGAGAGAAGATTTGGGGTTTCTAAGCTTTCACGAAATTGTTGGGTCATGGGTTGAGGTTTGCACGGGGGTGAAAGAACTGCACTTTTATCAAAAACAATTCAAGTCTGACTTGAATTTTTTTTTACGACAACTTTTGCCTTGACACTGCAGTATTTTTTATTTCAATCTAAAAATCTAACAAAATCTTGAGGTTGTCCAAACGGTTCAAATCTGTTCCACAAGATTTTTGAATTACAATCCAAAAATATTGCAATTTCGGGTACATCCAAACTAGCACTTATTTGTCAAAAGACATGGAGACTTGATTTCCATAGTATTACTATATGTTAATGATATGATTTTAACCGGGAACAATGAGATTGAAATAACAAGACCTGCAAGACTGAGAGAGGAATTGGCCATTAGATATGAAATGAAGAATTTGGGTGAGCTAAGCCATTTCTTGGATTGGAGGTTGAAGAATGTAATAATGGAATATTTCTTTTTCCAAAGACAATATGCAAGAAAGCTGGTTACTGAGTTTGGAGTCAGGGAGAGTACACATATTTCAACTCCTATGGAAAGGATGACGGCAATGATTTAGAAGATGTTAATTTTTATTGGATTCTACTTGGAAGTCTTTTGTACTTAACCATCACCAAACCCAATATATGTTATGTTGTTAGTGTCGTCAGTCGGTTCATGCAAACTCCTAGAAAGCCACATCTTGATGCAACTAAAAGAATTATGAAGTATGTGAATTCTGATCTTGATTTTGGATTATTGTATAAAGCATAATGGAAATTTCAGTTTCATGGTTTCCTAACACAAGACAATCTACTTCTGGTTTTTGTTTTAACACCAATTCGACAGCTATTAGTTGGTGCAGTAAGAAACAATCAAGAGTGGCTCTTTCATCTACTAAGGTGGAAGACATGGCAGCCCTCTAGCTACAAAAGAATGTTTATGGCTGAAGAGGCTTATTGGAGAGATATCTTCAAGGAAGACCAAAATCCAGTACATATATTTGTGACAATAAAAAGACCATTAGGTTGGCATCTAATCCAGTTTTTCATGCTTGAACCAAGCATATAGAAAGCCAATATCATTTCATTCGAGAGAAGGTTGAGATCAAGTTGGGGAAAGATGAATGCCCATCACCAAGTAGCAGATATCTCTACAAAGGCATTGCCAAAAACCAAGTTCGAAGCCTTCCAAGCAAATCTTGGATTGTTTGATCTCAAGCACACCCTAAGGTTGGATGTTAAAATATTAGTATGTGCTTGAGTGAGTTTTGTAATTTTACTAGTGTAAAGATTTTATAGGTAGTATTGGAATATGTATAAATATTTGAAGGTAGTATAAACATGATGTTAATAGTCATTAATTATGTATAGAAAATTAGTGTGAACTTGTTGAAATTGCTGTGAGTGTTCTAGTAAATTCGTCACAATTTCTTGGGGCTTAAGCAAGGACCATGAAACTCACTAGAATGTGCTAAATTCGGTCTAGAAGTTACCACATGGTTCTATAAATACATATGTTCTTGTAAATTTTGAAGTATGAGTAAAGAAGGAGCTCATTAGAGTTGATTTCCCTATACTCTTAATTATTGTTGTTTTGCATTCTACTTTCTTGACTCCATTCCATTTCATTTTTTATTCTTCTTGAATTTATATTTGCCAATTCATTCTCCAAAAATTGAAGACGGGCCTCATTCTTCTTAGAGAAGAGCTTTTCAAGAGTATCCCATACTTCCTTCGGGGGTTCAAGATCTTTTATATGATCCATAAGCTCCTTTGAAACAAAAGCACGCAAGGCAAATAATGCCCCCCCACATCTAGTCTTCCACTATCTTCTGAACTCAGTATTTTCTAGTGTATCTGTTGGCTCATCTCCGCCAAAAAGTTCCCATACATCTAGCCCTTGGAGAAATGCCTTCATGCATAACCTCCAATATTGATAATTCAAGTTAGTCAACTTCTCAATTTCAAATTGATTTGCTCCACCATTTGTCTCCAATGAAGAAAATAAGGAGTGAACCCACTCTATTGACTCCTCAAGGGATATCTACAGTGAATAGACTCTAACTCCCTTATAGCTCTGATACCATGTAAAAATTCAAGAAGAATGAAAAATGGAATGAAATGGAGTCAAGAAAATAAAACGTAAAAAAAAAACAACTAAGAGTGTAGAAAAATCAACTTTAAGGAGCTCTTTCTTCTCTTTTACTTCAAAATTTACAAGTACACATATATTTATAGGACCATGGGGTAACTTCTAGACCAAATTTGGCATATATTAGCGAGTTTCATGGTCTTTAATTAAGACTCAAAAAATTCTGACGAATTTACTAGAACATTCACACCAATTGCAACAAATTCACACTACTTTTCTATACATAATCAATGACCATAACATCATCCCTAAACTACCCTCAAATATTTATACATATTTCAAAACCACCCATAAAATCTATGCACTCGTAAAACTACGAAACTCACTCAAGCACACACTAATATTTAACATTCCTCTAAAAAAATTCACATAACTAAAAAACCTTCGAAAAAATCCTTCAAATATGGCATTGATGATGCCCATCATATAACAATATAGGTTGCGGATTAGGGCGTAAAGAAAAGTCTAAAACACCCTCATACCCTTAAAGCAAGGTTAAGGTCTACCAGAAACTGAAAATGGGCTTCTTGGCTTCTCTTGTACCAAACTCCCAGAATACCAACATGACGAGTCTTCAACAAGAACCAGAAACTCAACCAAGTCTTATCTGCTTTTCCTACCTTTCCAGCCAATGAAACTCAGGTCATGGCCAAATCGAGTTGACTTGGGCAAGTCCCACATCACTGCAGTGAGTATTTAAAGTCTCAAACTTTGGTTTACATGAATAATAATGGGTACACTTGGAATTCAAGTAATTCCTCTTCAATATGCCTCCTCAAACCCAAACATGCAGTTCAAAGTTCAAACAGACCGAACTCAAGGCATTAAAACTTCTCCAGGAAGATTCAAAGCACAAACTTCTCCATGAAGATTCAAAGCACAAATATTTTCTCCATGAACCCAATGAAGCTAAAACTAGATGCTTAACAATCAATTGAATGGAGCTTTTTTGGTTCCAGATTACATCCTTATTTCTGAATCTTGCATGAATCACATAATCAGTTTGCTACTAAGCTCGAATATTAATTAGACAATCCTCCTTGAAAATAATTATACACACACACACACACACACATACACACATGCATATGAGCAAGAGAACTGTGGGAAGGATGGTGAAGAAATAGGGAAGAGGAGGGAAAGGGATGCAAGCAAACTCTATGCAACGTAGCAGTTACATGTGCCAACTATGCAGGTGGCGATGGTTGGATTCACAATCATAAGCCTGGAATATTACTACAGGTTAAATCCTCCTAACCCACTTTGAATGATTAAAACATTGTTGCATATGTTTACTTAATATCAGGCAAAGTTCAAATACCATGGACTTGAGTTTGGACTCCCAAGGATCCTGACCCGAGCCACCTGCTTCAACTCAGATTTTGATCCGGATCAGTCATTTTTCATCGTAAACATTAGGATCAGGGGGGAGACTCTAGGACGATTCCAATTTTTTTACCTCAGGAATTGACAGCCAACTAAGGTGAGTCCCAACCTCGCCGTCACTTTTTTAAACACTGCTTAGTGCTTGTTACATGCAACAGAATGATTACATCATATATGAGTCCTCAAGTCACGGTTCTAATTTATCTTTTGGCAATGCCACTGGATCATCTGTAATCAAGAACACATCAAAAGTATTCTAAATCCACCTACCTTGCAACATCTAAACACCAAATTACTCACAAATGATCGACAATAACACAGTTTACTCATATAATATAGAATTGAGACTGGAAATTAAAACATTAATGGAAGATATCAAATCAAGAGTAAGGAACCAATCTCAGCTATCAAATCACATGAAGAAAAGTGAAGGATCAAATGATAACGGCAAATGCTGATTTTTATCATTCAAAACAAAAAACAGGTGAGGGATAAAAGCATTAACAGATTACAGTAGCAAAGAGGAATCTAAACCAGAAGGAATTCATATTAAACACCCAAAAAAAGGGATTAGCAATTGCACGTTCCTGTTCAAACATGAAAATCTTTATCCTAATACTTTCATGCAAGAGAAGAACTAGAACAAACAGAAGGTAACCCTAACCAGAAACATCAGAGGAGAAACAAAGAAAATAAAAAAGGAGAAATGCAGAAACGAGAGAGAGAGAGAGAGGGGGTAGAGGGAATGAGACCTTATTAAGGATCCAGCAATCGTCAGCCATTTCAGCAACTCCTTAGAGCTACTGAACAGCTCCAGAGATTAAAGCTTCTTCGTGCATTGCATAGAAAAACAAAGACAAAGGAACAGAAAAAAGCAAAGTAGAGAGAGAAAATGAGGAGAGAAATATAGAGACACAAAAGAAAGAAAAAGAGAGAGAGAGAGAGAAGCGATGATGGCGGAGAATTGAACAGGCAAGGTAGGAGGGATAGGGAGAGAGAAGCGATAATGGCGGAGAATTGAACAGGCAAAGAGGGGGCTTATGATTTTGTTGGTTTTTTTGGATATCCCCCCTTTTGTTGAAATTTTCATTATTGTAGTTGTAATTTTGTTCGAGAGAGAGAGATTTTTTTGATTTTATAAGAGAGAAAGGGGAGGGAGGGTGTGTTTTATTCTCGTGCCTTCCTTCGCTAGAGAGAGAGATTTTGTTTGAGATTTTATGAAAGAGAAAGAGGAGAGAGAGATTTTGTTTGAGATTTTATGAAAGAGAAAGAGGAGAGAGAGATTTTGTTTGAGATTTTATGAAAGAGAAAGAGGAGAGAGAGATTTTGTTTAGGACTTCACGAGAGAGAAAGAGGGAAGAGAGAGAGGGTGTTTTTTTCTCGTGCTCCGACCGCTTCGCTCCAAACATCCTTCTTCTCGACAGATTTTTCTAAATCTACGCGCATGCCTTTCATTATTGGAAAATTATTCATGCGGGCTGGACCGCATGACTACATACGTGGTCAAACAGTGTAAAGCCTTCCATCTTAAAAATGGATGCAAGTAGGTGTTCCATCTCAAAACAATGGAAACTAACGGTCTTAATGTTCTTTTAGTTTTTAAAATTTAGTTATTTTTTTATATTCATGATCTCCATGTTAGAGATTACATGTCCCCAAAAATTAAATCTTAAAATCTATCTCACTAATAAATTTATTAAGAGCCCCCCATTTCTTCATATGAGGGGATTTGCTGCTTAGAAACCAGGCCCTTCATTTTATAGTTTATTGTTTCAACAAACTACTACCTAAACCTACTTGGTTTTTAAAATATCAAAATTACCATTTAGATGCCAAGGTCAAATTTTTATGCGATGGGGCTCTACCCGTTGTATGAATGGAACTCAAGGCCTCATGTTATAGTGAACCACCATCCTGACTGGTTAGCCTTGAGTCTATTTCTAAGCTACAGTATTTTTTAATAGTATTGTTGATTTCATCGTCAAAAATACATCTCACATTTTAGTATTTTCTAAGACAAATAGCCCATAATATTAAATGAAATGTTATTCTCGATATAGTTTTGGTGATGTAATTTTTTCAACATATTTTTGAAAGTTTGGATTTTAGAAACTAAATAAAAGGAAAAAAAACCAAATAATTCTAAACACTGAATGAAAAAAAAAAAAAAGAGTAATTATTCTAACTTCTTTCTAACAAACAATACCATACAACACTCATATTCTTAATTAATATCTATTTAATGAATTTTGACAGCTTTTATTTATATTGGAGAATCCTATTTGGCATAAAAGAGAACCAATATTGCAAACCGTTTTCTGGGTTAAAAATAAATAAATAAAAAAGAATTGGGTGGACTAGAAACCAGGGTTAGTCCCTTAAAAAATGGAAAAATTCTTTTACCAGATAAAAATGGGGATGAACAGAAAATAGATAGAAGCTTGAAGTGTAACCAAATGTGGGAATTGCTACAAAGTTTAATTACTTTTTAAGCATTTCCTCTATTTATTTTCATTAATGATCAAAATAGCAAATGAGTTGCAATAATCATTACACCCCTTTGGAAAATCTAGATATCACTTTCATAAAAATAAGCAACTATTAATTCCTAGTTGTTAAAAAATAAATATTATAATTTCTGGAAAGCAAATGGTGCAGCCCCAGCCTCACCAAAACCCCATGCCACCGCACCCCTTTCCCTTCTCAAAAGTCTGAACCCATGTCTTTGGTAGGTAGGTCTGTGTTTCAGCTCTTCATTTTGAGCTCTTCAAATGGTGCAAATCTGATGGACCTAGTATCCATTGAAATAGACGGTTCATATCCTCTGTCGGGATGGCAATACAGTAAAGGGGCACCGGTGACGATGCTGCTCTCGGCCCAAACCAGACCCATTTTATATGGTCCAATCTAGTAATATAAGAAAAACTTTACATGTGACCGCACCCATATATAAAATATATTGATGTAACTCTAGAGGTGTATAAGATTTTGTTTCAAAGTGCTCTTAGAAATGAGAATTTACTTGGATTTTCAATCATAGTGTCATTGAAAATATGGGATTTCCTAGTTAAATGCCCTTTCTTAATGATCTCAATAATTACAGGTTAGACACATAAATGTATATGACGTTTAAATGTTCAATTTTTTTGAAAATTACGTACCACTCAAATTTCTTGAATTTATGCCAAGTATTTTATTTACAAATGGAAAGTAAAACATGTGATTGGGTCTGGGAGGTCATATTGGTAATTAGTCTCCTATCCCCTTGCGCCGAATATTTGAATTTCTTAGAAGATCGAGAGAAATTGTTTGGGAATTTGCCTCGTTTTCTTCACCCAATTTATATACTTTTCAATTACTTTATTTATTATACATTCCTCAATGATCCGGAACGTGAGCCTCTTATATAAGAATGAGAACAAGTATAAAATCTTAGGAACAACAAAAAACAAATAACAAATACTACTAAAAAAAACGGCAAAATGTTACGATTCAAATAAATATGGAAAAAGTTTATATAAGGTTGCAATCTAAAAATGTCACCTTAAAAATTTATTAGAAAATATTGTTTTAATGTTGAAAAACCCTCTAATTGATCATCTCAGCATCGAGATGTTTGAATATGAAAAATAAAAACATAAATTAAGTCCCATAAATAGTCCATTTTGCAACACATTATCTAGACCATTTATTTTCAAGATTTTCATATGTATATAGATCTATTTGATTTTAACTATTTTTGGAATTTAAAATTTTATATTTGGATATGAAAATAGATTTTTAGATAATCGTAAGAATTTTTTACATGAAAATTACATGTTACAGTAAAATGTGGAGGTGGGCCTTAAACCAATAAATAATAAATAAATATATATATATATATATATATATATATATATATATACTTCGTGTAGTAGGTACGTAGTAGTATACGAGATA